GGAAAAGGCATTGCTGCTAGGAATTTAAACAAAAATACTAATGAACTGAAAAGGTACACTGCAATTTACAGCTTATTAATTTATTCAAACAAACAAGCTCACAGATATTAGCCATAGTCATCATACTACCTACTTCAGGTAGCATTCTATCAATAAACCAAAATCAGCAGTTTTCAACTGTGTGAATAATATATATCCCTTCCCACCTTTCTCACTGAGATAAGCTCCTTAACAAGATTTCCTTCCCTTAATTTTATGAGAAAACTAACTAGTAGATGGCAAGTAGAAAGGCACAAAGACATATGATAATTCACTGATGCAGTTCAAAGGTGCTACATAAAACACAGATTTCACCACTGAAGGCTGACGCCTTTTCCAGTGTACAAACTGAGTTAAATGAACTTTTTAAGGCAAAAAAAAATGTTTTAGTGTCCTCAGACACACTTTGTCTGTTGTATTCATAAATCTCCTTCATTGGACAAACTTTTTTTGCAAAGAGTTTATAAACTTTGCATAATCTCATCACTGCTGACACATTCATTTGAACTCCTTATTACTGAAATTATCCTCATGTCCCTCATTATACAAGAATAATCAGGCTTATATGCTACTGGAAATAAAGTGTTTAAATGGCAATAATGTCTGTATACCTTTGTCTTAATTTAAGAAAAGCATTTTACTACAAAGAAAAATACAATCATGTGAAGGTACAAAAGTTAAGAAAAATTTATTAGTGTTAATTAATGCCTAAAGGTAGAATTATGCTTCTTTCAATTGGACCCATTAAAGGGGCTTTAATATAGATTTGCACAGCAAGCTGAAGATTTTCAACTGCAGATAATGAGGCAAGCTAGTACTATTTTAACCCCTCTAGAGTATAATCAGTTGATAAGGTTTTGAAACATTACAAGGTCTAGGACAAAAAGATTAGCTTTAGTTCCTCCAGATCTAAATTGAAACCTAATTAATTAGCAATGTTATAGAAAAGGTTTACTGCTATTTTTACATGTCTTTAATTTTGTCTTCTAAGGAAAACAGGTTAAGATATTTTAATTTACCTATTGCGTGTATGGCAGAAGACTGTTCTCTGTTCCCACATTATCCACTAAACTAATTGTTTGAATTTAAAAATTTACTACATTCCTCCAAAAACCTCACCTTACTTTTTAAGAAAAAAATGGCACCAGTGAGCTGTTTGAGACATACACAATTATTATAAATTAAATTCAAGTGGTGAAAAATGTTTTCAAAGAAAACGGAGCATGAAACAAGATTTCTGCAGCAAAATATCTATCAGCCTTCAGAAGACGAATAATTAAAATTCTAAGAGACTGTTTTATGCACTTAAATGTAGTAATTAGAAAGTCTTTTCCTTGAAACACATGCAGAAGTGATGTATATACGTCAGAGATATATAACTACTGAGAAAAGAGTTTTGAGCCACGGCATGAAACAAAAGTTATAGTAAAAAAATCATTATAGTAATCCAGACACTAATTTCAAACGAGTAAGATTTTAACCACAGCAAGATTTTAAACAGCATTTAGAATAAATATATCTATATGCCAGATGAGGCCCAATTGGGACTTTCAGGATCAAAAGTTACCAGGCAACCAATTAAAAAGACAAAAATTAAAAAAAAAAAAAAAAAGTATAATGGAAAACTTCAATACAATACAATATATTTTTTAATGAATTTATGTGCAGTAATACACAAAAATAACTTAAATGCTTTAATAAATATATTTGAAACCTTGAATGGTACATATTTAAATGTTCCACATTACTTTGTATTTAAAATGTTTAACACAATATTAAGTTGCGCAATAAACTCATCTCAAGAAAAAAAAGTCTTATTCTATTTTATTTATATAAGACAAAATATTATACCATTGTAATTTAGGAAAGGTACATGACTGAAGATGTACTAAGTACACAGCAGTTCAGTGCATGTACTGTATTCCAAACATATTGCACAGCAGAAGTTTGGAAAAACTATGATTTACACTGATTTTTTACCCCTCAGGGCACAGGTCCCATTCTCATGAACATCTGAGCACTTTTCTTCCCTGTTAGGTTATACAAACATGATTAAACACCATCCTACTTCTTCATCACAAGTTTCCAAATTAATTTAGTTGATTTTCAGAAATATCCATTAAAATGGAAACCGTTCTAACACTTGAAATATCTCATTACAAATTAAGCTCATTCAGCTTTCAGTAGAACTAACGAGTTGGATCTCACCTAGGCTGTGGAGAATATACTCTTCTATTTACAGCAATTTTAAAAGTCTTCTTAAGCATATCAGGATAAAGTTTAAGCAGAATACAAGAGAAGATACAAGATACTCTGGCAGCAGTATCAGCTTACATTCATGCTGAATTATGAGATAGGTCATTTATTTTCCTCTTCCCTTACTCAACATTATATACAATCAGCTGTTTGGCAGCCACTCAGAAATTCCTAGTAAAAAAACACCCTACGACAAAATATATTGTTGCCACTGAATCTCTGTATGATGCATGAAGGGGAAGAGACAAACAACAGAAGACACGACTGGGTAATTTCACCTTCCGAGATGAAACCAATACACAGCAATACACGTAAAAAATACACAGACTGCAATACATTGCCTTGAAGTCTTGCTGTCCGTACTTTACAGAAAAGAATATTAGTTGTCATTACCATCAAAATACACATTTTCACAAGCAGACTATTTGCATATTAATTACAAAAGTAGCATTTTTTCCTCCTTAGATGAATAAAAAAGGAAAAAATCCAGTAAAACAAAATAAATAAAGAACACATTGTTTTCTATGCCACCTCCAGTCTTTGATTACCAAATCAGCAAAACTCAGAAAACAATCCATCTCGTTTCAGTCCTGTAGCATCCCAGCCAATGGATAAGCAAGAAGGTCAGAAGGACATCACCTCTGTATACAGCTTTTATTTACAGCACTGGCACTATCGGTGCCCTTCACAACCCACCTCCCAACTCAATGACACTCTAAGGGAAGCCAACTGAAAGGGCTGCATTACAGTTGTGACAATTGCCAAAACAACAGCTTCTGTTCTCCTCATCTCTTAGAATTACTGAATCATAGAGTATCCTGAGTTGGAAGGGACTCACAAGGCCAACTCCTGCCCCTGTACAGGACCATCCCCAAGAATCACATCATGTGCCCAAGAGAATCATCCAGATGCTTCTTGAGCTCCATCAAGGTTGGTGCTGTGACTACTCCTCTGGGGAGCCTGTTCCAGTGCCCAACCATCCTCGGCGTGAAGAACCTTTTCATAATACACAAACTAAGCTTCTCTTGACAGAGTTTCAGGCCATTCCCTCGGGTCCTATTGCTGGTCATCCCAGAGAAGAGATCAGTGCCTGCCTTTCTGCTTCCCCTCACGAGGAAGTTGTAGACCACAATGAGGTCTCCCCCCAGTCTCTTCTCCTCCAGGCTGAACAGACCAAATGACCTCACCTGCTCCTCATATGGCTTCTCCTCAAGGCCCTTCACCATCTTGTTGCCCTCCTCTGGACAATCTCTAAGAGATTAGTATCTTCCTTACATTGTGGCACCCAAAACTGCACACAATATTCAAGGTGAGGCCACCCCAGTGCAGAGTAGAGTGGGACAATCCCCTCCCTGGACTGGCTGGCGATGATTTGCCTGATGCCCCTCCAGGACACAGCTGGCCCTCCTGGCTGCCAAGGTACTGCTGACTTACATTCAGCAGTCAACCAGGACCAGGACGCCCGGATTTTCTGTGTGGCTGCTCTCTAGCCTCTCATTCCCCAGTTTGTATGTATATCCAGGGTTCCTCCCATCCTGCTGACAAAAGTCCTCTTTCCTGGCTGCCACCTCACCAAGGTTCAAGTTATATTTTCCATTTTCCTCTCTCCACTTCCATGTGGCTGATGTAAATGCATCACATCAATTTCAGATTTCAGATCAATTACAGGTTCAGCTTCTGAAATTGATCTGAAACCACAGAGTACAATGTCATGCAGATGCACACTTCAGGTTCAGAAGCTGCCACAACATGCAACCATTCTTAAAAGCACATTATTGCACACATATTCCTATAAATATCTTAGACAAGAATTTTGTCTTTCAGATAGGGATAGGGTAGAAATACAGGATTATACATTACTGGTTTATCAAAATAATGTGTGTGCATGCACCAAACACATTACACATCACACATACAGCCATAGGATATGACAACATACTGAAACTTCAGCCACTGCTATAATACATAATAAAAGTTTATTTAATAATAAACAATATTTTATTTTAAATTCTCATATTTATATAGATTTACATATTTCATATATCTACATCTTATATGCAATATAATACATTCTATTATATTTAATATATTATATCTTGGATATAATTATATAAAATACAGCTTATATAATACAGATTATATAGGGTATACAGATAGTGTACTGTACATTATTTAATACATAAACTAAATTATAATATAATCATACATAATGTATCTATTCTATATCATTGTATTTATAATCTATATATTTTCTATATATTAATTTAAATATTAATTTATTTAGTAATAAAACCAGAAACACTACCACTTTTGTCAGACAGAAGGTGCATCAGGTTTATTTTTTTGTACTTGTCAGTATGGTAAATCTTTCCAACGCATGGGCACATTACATCCCTAAACATAGTTAGAGCTCTTCTGGACTGAAATCCAAGTGTAAATTAGCCCATTAGACAAAATGAGGGAATGACCAACTAAATTTTGCAGAAAAATTTTCATCTAAAATCATAGGAACATATAGGTAACAGACAACTGTTTGAAGAACTCAGAAGAGTTTAATTAATAATTTATCAGGCGGTTATAATCCCTGAATCATCTGCAACTTTCTCTTTAAGATATGACAGTAAGCCATTTTCTCATTTTAGGAAATATAAATGTCATGTCAATAAGAAGTCTTCTTAACTGCTCTGTTTAAACATAATACAAACCTGTTCTAGGGTTTCTATTTTGCTGTCTTTGGCTTCTAAAAGCTCTAAAACTCTTCTGTCCTTGACTTCGGCTTTCTGTTTTTCTCTGGAAACAAACAAAAAAACCCAGACACTTTATTAGTCATAATTTGCAGTTAATCATTTGAATTTTTCATGTCCTGATAATGAATGTCATTTTAAAGCACAGAAAATTAAATTATCTGAAGCTGACAGGCCTTGCAGAATTAATCAGGGAGCATATGGCAAGTGACAGCAAATTACATCTGTAAACAGCTAACACAACTTTGTTCAAAAAGAAACAGAAGCAAGAGGTCTTAAAATACATTTTTAAGCAGATGACATTATCTGTCTCATTCTTTCCCAAATGCAGAAAATGTACAATGGACATAGAATAAGCAAAATGCTTTTTTCTTTTCTTGGCAATGTAGAATCACTAAACTGCTTGCATTTGTTAAATCCTTCTCTCAGTTAAAAGGCATTTCTCTAAAACAACACTTTTGAACATCATGGATCATTACAATCTTTTACACGGACAGAATCTATAACTTCCACCAGGATAAAAAAAAAAAACAAAACCAGACAGCACAAAAGCTTGGGTAACAGGGATGAGCAGAGCCACTCTTATGTGGTTATTAAGTGCAGAGCTATTATCATCTCTGGAATACTTTGTAGAATGTCAGCTGATAAGTCATTAACACTTTATTTACAAACTACCTCATCTCATGGTTATCCTATTTCTTAACTGAGTTTTAAATATTGATGCCCTTACTGGCTTCTGTTTTAGGCAGAAAGAAAACAAATGTTGCAATAGTTAAGGATATTCCAAGATTCCTTGGCACAAGCATATACCTGCAACTAAAGGTCTACAAATGGCCAAATAATTCAGGTAATTCCAAACCCACGGTGACAGAAGCAGGAACTCATTCAGAGTATTCGTCCTCTCACAGTACAGTTAAACTTTCATCATTGCTAATATCAGTCATCTATAGAAGCCAGAAAATCCTACTTGTGCAACTTCTGCTCTTCCAAAATGGGAATGTTTCAGAGCTGGAAGCGAATGAAACAGTCATACATGAATCTGTAATCTGATCTAAGCTGGATCAAAATATTCAGCTGTACATAAAAGGCTTAATCTGCTGAAGCATTTTGTAACAGTGACCAAAAGGATAGTAGATATATGGAGAACTATTTTTCTTCATTATTATTACTGTGTAATCTACTGTTAGTGGTGATTTTAAAGACTAAACTGCACTGTCATCACAGGCCACCCAATAACATAGGTTTTCTTCATAAATTTTTATGACTGCTAATACCTAGTCTGATCTTGAGTAAATAAAGAATTAAAAATGGTACGGAATTTCAAGTGATGTCTTTGGAAACTGAGGTCTCAAGGCAAGGACTTTAAACAGCACTCTTCTATTGCAAGTCTAACACAACTGATGCGTTGTAGGACTTGAGGAAAGCTACGAAAAACCTACCTGAAAAGATACGCATTTAAGCTACATTTAGCTAGGAGAAATAAAAATATACAGGAAATAGTCTTAAGCAGTTGTATGTCATTAAAAAAAAAATCTTCATAAAGAAAATAATTCAGGCACTGCCATGAGCAAAGAAAAGTCAGACCATGAATATTCAACAAGTATTCCAAAAGATATTTCATGTCTGAAATGTATTTAACATTTTAACTGAGGTAGAATCTAAACAGAAAAGTGAACATCAGATCCTGACCTCAAAGCATCTGATCACCTGCAGTCAAAAACATCAAGGAACTGTCACGATAGGTTGCTAGAACACACGAGCAGCAAAATAAAAAGTACCGACTGTTTTGCAGTTTATCTTTGAATACCTGCAAAAATGGAACTAAGTAGACTGCGATTACAGAAATCCATTCTGATTTAAATTATGAAATTATCTGATGTATTCCAAAGGTTATGCTGTGCTGTCTCTCAAAAAAAAAAAAAAAAAAGGAATGGAGCACAAGAGCCAAAACAACAAATACGATTCTGAACATACCAGTTTATGAACCCATCCACCCAGCCTATAACACATATCTAGCTAACAGAAGTCACATTCTCAGCAAGATGGTAGACAACTTTCTGATAGCTGTGTACTTTGTACTAAAACGTAACAGACAATTTTAAAGAGCAGAAGTTAGTAAGGAAAAATGTGTGTGAATACATTATTTGTAAAACACTTATCACAGAAATTTGTGCATATACCTGAAACAGACATCTTTTTCATGAAAGCTACTATACATTATTCTTCAACTTAGGTGAACCAAAACCTGCTCCAGTATAAAAATATCAATACTTCTTTATACTTAATTACTTTGCTGTGGGATTCTTAATGGCTATCAGCAAGCACCTTTTCTCAAAGACAACAGTTTCAGTAATCAAACCCCAAATATTTTGGGAGGAACGTATTGCTCTCCAATAAGCAAGTTACACTATAATCTATTCGACCAAGTGATGGACCTATACCAATACATGTCTAAACATAAATATATGTTTATGTATTATAACATTCAGAGTTTCCTCAGGTCTTAAATACAGCTAGACAACTTAAGAATTTAAGATTAGACACATACACAAAACCAGTTGATCCAAAATTCTATGAGCTTCAGATGGCACAAAGCAAAGAAAATCTTTACTACAAAGTACTTAGAATAGTAGTGTTCAGACACAAAAAGAATCATACCACAAAAGGCACAAACACACAAGCCCCATGAACCAGTGAACAGCACTGTCTCCAGTTCTCAGAAGTATCCTGACCTTAACTGCTAGCTGGAAAGTCCAATCCATTCTTTGTTCCCACAGTGATATATTTCCCTCTCCGTTTTAATTCAGCTGTTTATTAAATCACTGTTCTATCACTCATTCTGTATCTACCATCCACAATATACCATTGTCTTCTCAACTCTGACCATCATCTCCTCTCATAAAGTCAATCTTTCTTACAAGAAGACTCAGTTAAACAACAGTACTGGGTAATTAGCTAGCCTCCTAACTCAACTATGCAATTATCACTTAAGGAGTATTATTAAACTTGTTACCTAATGCACTAATTGATCTGAAAATCTGGTCAGTTAGGTAGGCTTCTCAGCCCTAAGGAACTCCACAGTTAAGGGGGTATAATTTTATTCTTTATTTATTTTTCCTAATTTCTTTAGGAAGAAAGTGAATAAGTCAGCCAAGAACCAAGTAAAGAACAAACTGCTTCAAAAAATAGTATGTAGAGCCAATGCTGGTATATTATTGGTAATCAAGAATTTATGGAGCCCTCTGACTTTAGGATATGTTTGCATGAAACTGGTTTGAAGAATAAAGTCTGGGACTGAAGACAAAAAAAAAAAAAAACAGTTCACTGTTAAAGCAAAAAATATGCCTGTAATAGAGACACACACTAGCCAATGGTTCAAAGTGCATTTCTAGTTTAATGCAGCATTTTCCACTTTTCTGATACTTGGTCAAACACTATTTGAACAAATATGTCAAGGAACATAGTTTATAAACACAGATAGATCATTATTGTGATAAATAAGAAAAGTTTAAGTAATTTTATTTTTCTTTTATGAGTTTTTTTCCAGACTTCCTAAATAGCACAGGCTATAGTAATGCCACCAAAAATAGTTTCACATATTACCACCCACAGCTAAAGAGAAAGGTTCTAATTACCACAACATAACCACACAATGGATGTTGTCAGAAGCCTAAAACACAAATTGAAACCTCATATACAACTTTATCAGCAGTTTTTCCTGGAGATATAGGACCGTTTTCCATAACTGTCACAGGATAGTTCCCCATAAGGTAGTACAACTGACTAGAACTTACATATCATATTTGGATCTGCAGCTGCACCTTGAAATGAGACTTGATGGGAACTGCAGCAATCACCTTCTCTTTTTTAGAAGGGTAACAAATATTAAGAAAAAAAATCTTCAAACAACTTTATTAATTGAGCTGTTAAGTATTTAAAATATATTTTAAAAAGTCCACTGGAATATGGGGGGGCAGAAATTCAGGTACTGTCAAGAAGCTGATGATGATCAATGACTGAGACAAACTCCTGTTTAGCTAATTAGAATCACTGATGAGCAATAATGATGTGAGCTAAGAATATTTGCAGACTTCTTTAGTATGAAAAATGGAGTGAAGAAAGGTTGTCAATTTGTACAAGTTTTGAGCTCCAATCAGTTTTCTCATAAGTACTACCTATTTTACATGTTTAAAACAGATGCCTTTAGATACAAAGATTATTGAGATTCAGCTTCCTCACACAAAAATGAAGAAATTGAGAAAACATTCTTAACCTTGACGTTTTTCCTCTGTTATGATTTTTTTTCCACTGTTATGCTCAACTTGCTTATACAGTAGGACAACATTTTTGATGTTCCCCACGATTTTAATGGCTTGTCACAAGTAAAACATTAGACTGTGAGAAAATGTTTAACTAAGAATGAGGTACAAAATCATCAAAAAACCCTAGTATTTTAAAAATCAGATTTTTCTTTTAAATTTTTTCTAAAACAACATTCTTCCTAAAATCTTTACAAAAGCATTATGGGTATAGAGGCATCTTGTATCCTACTACAGGTCTTAGTCAAGCACCTAACCATTTGTCAAGAAAAACTAACTCACAAAGTTTAGTCAAGAAAAACTAACTCACATAACCTAAATGAAAATAATTTTAACTAACAAATTTAGTTTGCTGTTTACATGTTACACAGAATTCGTCCTTTCGGTTTTACAAACAGTGGGATTAAAAAAATGCAAACCAATCAACCAAAAAAAGTCAAAAACTAAAACACATCTACAAATTTGTCCCTAAACAGAAAGTTAAGGTTACACTGTGAACTCTGGGCAGCAAGGTAAAAAGAGAAAAGGCTACATTTTAATAGTACATTCTAACCAAAATAAATTGCTTCTAGAAACAGTGTTACTGTTGAAAGATATTTCATTGCTTTTAAAAGGCTGCATAACTAGAAAGGCTATAAAACATTAGTTTATCTGATACAGCTTTAATTTGATTACCTTATCTCCTTGTCCTCCAACTTTCAACTATTTTACAGACGTCCAAAACACACACATTCTATGTTTGTATTAAATAGAAATAAATCACCCACGTGTAAAGTGAAATTGTAGAGCACAGACTGTGTTAGTGTAAATATGGCACCAATACTGTAATTATTGTGTACAGTCACATCCCTGTGGTTGCACAGTCAGTGGTTAGCAGAAACAGAACCCATGCCTTAATCTTTCATGAAGAAACCTTACTGTGTTTCCATGTACTAAAAAATGCTAAAAAACTCCAGAGCTAAATAGTCTGCATTTAATCAAGTTTTATTTCACCTCCTAGAAGATCCTTATACTTCATGATGAAGTACAATTGATACACATCATTTTTTTTCTTTTAACACTTACAAATATACTTTTGTATATTTGTGAGAAGCAAAAAGGAATTTATATGAATTCCACACATTTTGCACTTTTCTGTTACTTTGTATAACATAGTTGCACACACCTATTTTTGTTTCTATACAAAAATAATTTAAGATCTAAATAAAACGCATAAAATTAAATTATTTCCTTAGGAAACTATGTGCAGAGTCAGTTCTATGTTCCATGATATATATCAAAATGGAAAGGCATCATTACAAAAGTGTAATTTTTCTTGCATCTCCAACTTGATTTAATTAATTAGATGATTTATTAAAGCCTCTTATTTTAAGCAACATACATAAAATACTAAACATGTTTTTACATTAAAGGAGTACAGAAAATGGTGACATTTTTGCCTAACAATTTTGCAAACATTTTTCATCTGAAATACACAAGTCTCTTTCAGTGTTCAAAATATCAGCACTTCAGAACAGACTGCTTTAACATCTGCACATCACCAGGGTTTCCCCCAAGGATTTTTAAATGATGCCTGCCTGTGCTGAATAAAGTGCTAACTTGCACCTTGCATTTCAAACTGTGTCCTGAGCAGCCATCCAGTTGGTACAACACCAGCTGAATTCCCAGAGGCCGCTGTTCAATCAGGCTTGACTGCAATTATCATGTCAATATTTTGTGCTCCGATATGCAGATATGCACACATGCAAACTGCATAATACCTTCTTCTCCATGGAATGTTGACTTATGTTCAATGTTCTGAGAATTTTTAATGAAACAGGATATTAAACTTTCATTAACTGTAGAAAATCACAATTATTTGACCTTAGACAGAAAGGTTGTACTCTTATACTCTATTATTCTGTCCACTTTATTGAGTGATAATAACTGGGGAGTCCATTTTACTTTAAATTCAGAGTAACAAAACAGTAATGGCCTTTAAAAATGGCCTGAATCTTGTTTACTTCCTTGTCTTCCTGTCATTCTGTTTCCTCTTAATTTGCACAAGAGCAAAATGGTGGTTTCAGAAAACTTCTGCATGATATTTATCAGCCCTTCAAAAGATGCAAGATACAGATTTTTAATTATTTTTCAATTGCCATAGGCAATCTATATTGCTCATTCACATCCCACACTTCTCCTTTTATATAAAAAGTATGTGCCATTTTCAGTACATCTGCATATTGTCAGTCAGTGAAGAATCTATGTCAACCTGTTTGTTTCTTCCAAAATTTGCTATTGACAGGATGCTGCAAACCACAGCATAATCTCCTGCAAATCCCTTTCCAAAAATTCTTTGGTTATTTATGATCTCTTGATTTTCAGCCATATTTTTGTCCATTTGCCCACCTTTTGATAGATGTAACTCTCCAGGAAGAACAACAATGAAACTCTCAATCACTAGAACTAACATTCAGGTTGCCACTGTTTCTGAAACGATAAATCCATTCTTTCTCTTTGTTAAGACCTATAAGACACATCACAGTTGAAATTTAGGTGTGGAAAAACATCTGTGTAAGGTAAGCTTGTCAAATATGTGTAAGGGTGTCACCTAGCATAATACAATCCCCATGTACATCTACAAAGTCTTCTTGTATCACTGTCACAGTTTGATCATTAATGGATCCTGCTACATCCCCTTCCAGAAGAAAGGAAAGGAGTCAAGTAAAATCTCTAGAGGAAAATTAGTCTGTTGACTTGCCAAGATCGCATGTACCATAGGAGTGTCTGAAACCAGAGTTCCAAAGTTCGCAAAAATATTTCAAAACCTTTGATACTCTCATCTGAACCCCCATTTCATTTCAGTTCACACACGTATTTACCTAATAAGAGGTATTTTCTAGCACATTTTTTAAATCATGAAAAAAAAAAGATAGTGAACTAGAAATAGTGTGCTCTTTACATAATACTGAGATCAATAGTATTTAAAGTAGCTGGAAAGTATACTAACATGAGTAGTAGTTTTACAATGGCTTGTTTGAAAATACCTGGAGGCTTTTACATATCCCAAAGGCATTTCTCATTTGCACAGTAAAGATAATTTTTTGTTTATATCGGAATATTAAATTGGGAATATAGTTACAGTTATACAGCAAGAATTGCAAAGACTGCTGAAAAGTATATCATTGATGTATTACAGGAATCAGCAGCACAGCCATAAAAAGGTACAAGCTACATTTTTACAATTTTAGGGCAGGTGAACTTCTATTTTGGGACCATGAAAGCATTTTAAAATATCAGAAAAATAATGGCAAGGTACTATTAATTCCCCCTTATTCCCCCAAATTATGCCTTTTACATTTTCCTAGTTTGTTTGGAAAGAGATACTGTAAGGAATTGTCTAATGCTATGAACATAATTTAGCTGACTGTACAGTTAATACTGCCCATTCAATTCCTCCTAATACATATATTTTTTCTTCATCACACATCTGTGGTATAAGCTGTAAGATTCCAAATGAACATTTTGTCCTCTATCTTTTTATTTTTGTCACTGTAATCTCACAAAGAAAGCCTGGCTATCTCTTTCATTGACTGAAATCTACTGGATGATATTGTTTGACTCTTTATATTTATGAACTAGGATACACATGTCTGTGCCTTATTTGATTGCCTGCTTCCATTCTATATCTGGCTTCTGACCTCAGGTAGTCTCTAACAAAGATTTGGTGGGCACTGAAAGTTTCTCGGTTATGGAATTCGTGGTGGAAAGAACACACTGAGAAAGGAAGCTATGCAAATATTGGTGGTATCCATGCCACAAGAAGAAATAACAAAAGGTTGAAATCCATTTTATTCTGTTTGTTTCTATCTCAAAATCTCCCCAAAGGCCAGGACAAGATGGAAAGTGTTATCAATTAGGATATGACTGGGTCAGTGTTACTTCTAATACAGATGAGAAAGGAAAAAAGCCACCAAGACTTAAGCTGTTTTTTATCAGACTGGAGCACAAATTTTTAATTTCCAGCTCACGTGTTACAAACATGTAAAATATACCGAAACGGGCTGCAAGAAGCACAGCTCTCCCATGTGACATGCCTCAGGAATCATTTTGCTTGTAACTGTTACTTTGTAATCCCATCTCTTAAAACCTTTAAATCCATGTATTTTTCCCAGATTAACAAAGCCAAAAAATCGCTTGTCCTGTAATTTTCTGGACAGTAGCAGTTCTAGGTAGCAGATTCCTAGAAAGCTTATCAATGTATTAGAAACGAGACAAACTGACACTAACATAACAACAAAAAAAAATAATTGTTTACTGCGATAAGGTAAGGAGGAAGATAAAAACTTTTCTGAAAGGATGACAATGTGAAGAGGGTATAGTCATGAAACTGAAACTACTTAGGCAATTGTTATGGAAACTTATAGCTGGAAAAGTTACAAGGATATATGGGGCTGCAATTTGGTTGTGTAGAAGATTCACAGGTAAATTCTGGCTAGAAATTATTTCCAAAGCAGAAGTTAGACTGATCTCAGGTAAAAAGAGTTGAAGATACATCAGTTGAAGAGAAAAATGTTGTTCCATCTGTCAAATCAAAGCAACTCTAAAGTTCAAAGTTCTGATCAGTAAAACTCCTATATACTGAATAGATTTTATCCAAACATATTCCAGCACTATCAGGGGTAATGATAACCTCTAAAAAGATGCTGTGGAAGCAATTTCTTCTCTCTTAATCCCATAATGTGGAGAAGCATGAGAAAGGTATGATATAGATGTATAGTCTTGAGTTCCCAGAGGTGTTCTAAGGCACTACTGTTACCCTAAAAGAGGAGAGGACATAACACTAGATAAGCACCTCAACAGAAGTATGTTGTTAGGCTTTCATGTACGAGTATCATTCACCAGCCTTTATATGGAGTGCAAAGCACGTACACAGAATATATCTTTACCTTCATAGATAATAGACCATTATTATACATGAGATTTCTGTAGCAAGCCTTCTGATAAGCTGAACACTACATTAAAATGGTTTCACAAACATTTCCTATCATTGCACAAAAATTCAGCTCATTATCATGTTTGTGTGCATCAAGGTGGTATCTAAGTTTTTCACCCAGAGGTGGTTGGGTGCTGGAACAGATTCCCCAGGGAAGTGGCCACAGCACCGAGCCTGACAGAGTTCAAGAAGCATTTGACAATGTTCTCAGACACATGGTGTGACTCTTGAGCATGTCCTGCACAGGGCCAGGAGCTGGACTTGATGATCCTGATGAGTCCCATCCAACTCTGCATTTCTGTGATTCAATGATAGTTACCTTTTCTGTTACCATATCTTAGCTTTTCACTTCATTAAGAATTCAGATAAACCTAATTTATATATAACTGTTATACAACAAGTTATGACACTGGAAAATGTCATTTACCTCCTCCTGCTCTTTCAATAGAAAAACAAAATATGCAGTACATTTATAATTTAAAAATTGTAGTCAGTTGCAGTACAGAAAACTCAGCTAGAAAAGATTTTGAAGTATGCTTCAACTGGCACCAAAAAAGAAAACTTGCAACATATTGTAGGCACTTTTGACAAAATTTAACAATTGAACTTTTGTAACACATTTTTAAAACCTACATAGTTCTCACTTAGAGAGATAAAGAATAAGGTATCAGCAGAAGAGGTTGGTTGTTGATTTTAGTACCATGTTAAATCTTCAAACTCACCTTTCCACAGCCAAACTGACAGCTTGCATAAGATCTGGACTTGACACTTGCAGGTGTTTCCACAGAGAACACACAAATTCTTTATCAGCCTTAAAAACAAGAAAAAAAAAAGAAGATAAAAATACATTACATGTATGCTGTGCCTTTTACAGACAAAAAGGTTATACTGAGCATATTAAAAAGAAAATTACTAAACAAACAAACAAACACACAAAACCAAAACCAAAAGCATTCTAGTGAAAATTCCCTACAAGTGACTCACTGTTCTGTGAATGACAAAAACATGGTCAATGGTTCTATGGAATAAACAAGATTTTAACCATACAGAATTTTGAACACAAATACCTACAATCAACAATAAAAGAGCATACAGTGTGACATACGGTAGTAGAAACTGATATTATTCAAACAAGGCTGCCTTTTGCTATATCTGTAACTATTATTTTTAGCATTGTATTATTATTATTATATTATTATTACTATTATTATTATATTAAGCCTGGAATAAATGCTTCAACATTAAGTTTTACCACATGAAGCTCTTTGATTTTATTTCAAAATATACAGTAAATCAGTCTTCTAACACACACTCAGCTAACCTGCAGTATATAAAAGCTTCTGAAAAACACTCAAGTGAGAGTAAGAAAACAATGTTCTTTAAAAACAGACTCCAGAAAGTTCACAGAAACTACATGTCAGATAAAAGCTTTCCCAGATGTATATCTTCTACTACATACTAGTTGTTATTTTTCATTGGTGTACTTTTATTCCAATACCATTTTATTACTGGAAGCACCAATATTAGTTATTTTACTATCTAAACCCCTATGTTCATTATATAAAAATGTCAGGGGAGAAAAATAAAAATCAGCAAAAGATGAAGACAAATAGAACAATAAGAAAGCACAGTCTAACATTAAACTGGGGACTAATAAGCCAAAACCATCTATTGGCAGCAAGGTCTATTCAACAGCCAAAAATTATGAGAGTGCAGCTATGTCTACTAGTTTTTTAGAATCATTTACAGTGGCAAAGACATTTATGATCAATGCATCTAATTGCTAACCTAACACTGCTAAGTCCACCACTAATCCCTAAGTGGGACATCTACACAGTTTTAAATACCTTCAGGGATGGTGACTCCCCAACTTTCCTGGGCAGCCTGCTGCAATGCCTGATAACCCTCTGTGTGAAGAAATTTTTTCTAATATCAAATTTAAATGTTAAAAACCCCTTAGAATTTGTATAAGGACAATACACAATCTAAAGGGAAAACCAACACTATTACAGCTATCCATTTATCTACTTCCTTCTTCTCCCAGTCTTCTGGAACATAATCTAGTAAGATACCACAGATATCATTAGTTAACCAGAACTTCACTAAAATCATCTGAACAAACAGCACAGTACCTCAACTCTGCACAACTATCTTGAATTATAAAATGAAACAGAAGACCTGAGTTCCTATCTTCAACTCCACTCTTTAGTTTCTCCATAGGTTTCCTGTTTCTCATTTCTTAAGAATAAGAACAGATTGCACTTTTAATTACAGTATTGTGAGGCCATGATTTGAAACAGCTGAAAGCAATGGTCATCCAAGACAGAGAACAGCTCAACACCACTGCAAGTTTGACAAATGCCACGAGAGTCAATAAAAACCACACACTGTATGATTAGAGTGAAACTTAGTAGTAGAAAATGCTTTTTCAATTTGTGCTATCTTTTTTCTTCATTTGCTCCCAATCAGTTTTGCCTTCTCGGAAGGAAATTTGAACTTTACAAGCAGTACCAACACCAGTGCATAACAAATCACTCCATTGTAATATTTCTCTTTCTTCAGAACAAGAAAACAGCTATCTTCAATATAAAATCAAAAGACTTCTCTAAAGCTAGCAGATTTTATGCAGATTTATCAGTTTGCTAAGTCCAAATTATTTCGTCAAGAGTAACACCACAACAGCCAAACACATTGAATTCTGGATTCAACAAACTTTAAAAATTATTATAGAAATAGAAGAGATAGTTGCACCTATTTTTCTGTGATTTATGAGGAAAGCTTCAAAGATTTTTTTAAAAGGTTTTTTAAAGTTTTGACATGTTTTTCCATAGAAATGCATATATTTTAATTTCAGAGAAATGAGCTAATGCTGAACATGCTAGAAAACATAAGAAAAAATGCTGAGCAAGTAAGGAGATTCATGACTGTTGATTTAAAAAATATCCTCCTCTTTCAACAATTGCAATTTCTAGTTTACATTTATTTAAATGTTTAACTGTCATCAACTATTTCAACCAAGCAATGAATGAAACTTTATGGAGATTTGATGCATTATTAAGGTATTGCTGCAAACTCAGAAAAATTCAACCACCTACTGCAAGAAAGAACACCACCAACAAATCCGACTACCTTTCTGAATGTATTAGAAAGCAAATAAAACAAAGGCTATGGCCACAAAGATCTTGGAATTCAAGACTATTAAAAGCTTACACAGAAAGGACTACAACAGAAAAGAGTTCCTATTTCATAAAAGCAGAGAAATTTCATCCAACTGCCTTTGGTGGGTTGTGCACAGCTTTTAATATGTTGACATGAAGGCTGTATTTCTTTAATTTCAAAATAAAACCAAACCATTAACAAAAAACTTTGTGCTGTTTTTATAACATTTGAAAGGAACAAAATCTCTCTGTAACCAAATTGGGTTAGCAGTGTAAGACCTCTTTTCAAAGACCCTGTTGTGTGCAAGCAATCCTAACTGGATTATGGTGCATTATGGTGCATGACCACATTCACTTTTTGAAGAAAGGTAACATGAAAACTAAACCATACACCATATAAATAAGAACTCAAATGACTTTGCATCAGTATCCGGGTCTTTGTCCAGTGTAAGTGCTAAATATAGCTTTCAGCTCAGAATTAAGTTAAAAGACCAACAATGAGCATCATATTAATTGGGTTACTGCGTTCAGATGAAAAGACAGTTATACCTTTTTTTTTTTAAGTACAACCTCTCATTGCATGCTATCGCCCCATGCAATCAGTGTTCTAAATTTTAATGGATTTTGTCTGAGAGACAGTAAAAAGTGTGCACTTGTTTCACGTGTCTTCAAAAACCACCAGCTCCTGAAAATGCCTTGCCATGCCACCTGAAGAGTCACAATGTCTGTACATTGTGAACCAAGCATCGTCTACTACTTCTTTCCAGAATGAAAAATAAAAATTTTTTCAGATTTGGGAAAACTGTTGCAGGCTTCCAAAAAGCATTAGGATACATACAGAAGCCGGATTCTGAGTAATTTTAACATCTAAAAAAAAGCCAGGGTGGAGAAAAACAAAATTAAAGAAAGCCCAAGCCACAGTGGCCAAACTAAACATCACTAAATAATAGCAATGGAAATGTGACTTTTTAAAAAATTATTTAGAATGACATTAAATCAGTAGTTCTTATACTCCAAATGACACCATTTTCAGTATAAGGAAATGTTTGAACAATGACAACCACTAAAAATGAACCACTATATCTAATTCTACTTTTAAAATAATTTTAATTCAAATTGCTCAGATGACCAGCGATATGTAGAGCAGGTCTGAAGCGCAAATACTGTTTGAGCAATTTTTGTATCTTTAATACAGAATTCACTATGTATTTTATACCAAACTACTTAAAATCACTAACAAATTAGTTTAAGTGCCATGAAATCATTACAGAGAGAGAAGAACCAACATAAAAAAGTGTTAATAGTATTCCACTTGCAAACACTCAAAAATCTTCAGTCAAGCAAACGGTCAAAGTTTCTGATGCCGATTTATGAGCTCATGAGCTCTGTTCAGATCAGTTTTGTTTGTGTCTTCAACAAGTTAGATTTGCTTATAATCATGCTTCCTTTTAGCTTTTCTTACTGTCCTGTATACTGGACTGTGGCAGTAGCCGCTAGGTTTTCTGCTTATATTTTTGTATATTAGAGGAGTTGAGACACTTGACTTCTCTATGACTGTAAGAAGTACTATTAAATACCATGAGATTCCCTACAAGCAGCAGTGTCTGCTTGTTGTACTACCCTGCAGGCTCCTATAGAGTTCAATTCCCAGCTAGGAAATGGCTTGAGGCATTGCAAGAACATAGAAAAGCACAAAACTTTCAGACACTTATTTCTACACTTACTTCTAAGCAGAGTATTCCTCTACCACAAAAACCAAAAAAAAAAAAAACACACACAACAAAAAAAAAAAACAAAAACAAAAACACAACAAACCACCACAACCAAAAAAAAAACCAAACCAAACCAAAAAAAAACCCAACGAAAACTACATTAGTATATACTGAATTTTTCTTAATGAACAATATGTATATACGTACAATAAAGGATGAGGGAAGTGTTCACATCTCTGCCATAATTTTTGCTGAGCATCGAGCACGTATTTAGTCTCTCACAATCACCTTTCTACCTAAACCTTGCCAAACCTCCCAGAAATGGACCTTTGATAAGATAAATTTAAAATACAAAGTTTCAGTGAACATTCCTAATGAGAAGATAAACACTCAGGTACAAATGATCTTTTTTAACTGCATAAGCAGTTTGGTTTAACCTCTAATCACCTATAAATTCCACAACATTTCTGTCTGTGTTAAAAGAATAGTGATGAAACAAGATTAAAAAACTGATACTAATTTGAAAATAACAAAAAAAAAAATCTTCCTTGCAGTAAGGAATACTGAATGTGCACCAAACAAACTTCAAAGAAACAGCTATACAGAACAGGCTAAGTAGTGCCCATTAAATAATAAAGACCTAACAACAACAATCACAACAAAACACAAACAAAAGCTTTCACAATGCTATGGAAATAAGTTAAAAGCCACTGGAATTTCCAAAACTGCGAACCAATGCTATTTCAATACATGTCGTTTATTTTTGATGGTGACAGGAACTGGCATTAAAAGTTACTACAGCAACCTGAGAGCAAGCACACACAGAACTATAAAGCAATATTGTAATTACATCACCAGATATTCTAATTTAAATCATGAAAAGCTATGTACTTGATATGTACTTGAATTTTTGCAAAGGTACACAAAACTAAGCAGCATAG